AAATCGAACGTAAAACAGGACAAACAAAGGTCATAGCCTCGTAGTCGCGTCAAACATCGCATGGGATTCGACAAACGCGAAAGTATTTCGGGGACATTTCCATGCTTAATAATGTGCTGTCCACATTTGATGATAGGCAATTTCGATTAAGTAAGGGTATTCGGAAGCAATATTTCTCTGTCGAAGATCGGCCGGTCAATGTAAGCTGCGAAATAAAGAAATTCTAGTTCAAAATCAATTCGTTCGATTTTTGCAGCAGACGTTCGACGCGCGTCTTTCATGCATCTCTCGAGATCTCGCAATTGTTGGGAAATTGTTATTTTTTTTTTCGGATCAATTTCGAAATAGCCGACTGGCGGCCATTTTGTTTTAAAGAATTCAGTTCTGGATCCGTATCCGAGACATGTCTGGATTGATCAAGTTCAAACTTCACACACACAAGGTACATCATATCACAAATATGTATGTGCATTTGTTTCATGATCTCATTAACGATAGCCAAATGGGGGCCGTTTTAAGGCCGAAAATGCATTGAAATCGCACATTTTCACCATTCCGGACCCGTATCTCAGTTATGCATGGATGGATTTTGTTCAAATTTGGTACATACATTAAACATAATAGGACCTTGATGCACGTCTTTTTTTTTTTCGGATCAAGTTCGAAATGGCCGACTGGCGGCCATTTTGTTAAAGAATTCAGTTCTGGATCCGTATCCAAGACATGTCTGGATTGATCAAGTTCAAACTTCACACACACATGGTACATCATGTCACAAATAGATATGTGCATTTGTTTCATGATCTGCTTAACAATAGCGAAATGATGGCCATTTTAAGGCCGAAAATGCATCAAAATCACATATTTTCACAATTCCAGAACCGGATCTCAGTCATGCATGGATGGATTTTGTTCAGATTTAGCACAATGTGTTGTACATATGCAGGTGCATTTCGGTCATGATCTGCTTTGAATGTATATGTCACTCAAATATGAACGGAACGGGGACGTGTCATTGACAATGACTTGTTTTTCTTGGGATTCAGGTCGCTGAACACTAAACCGTACGTTGTTGTTGTCTTTTTTTCTCATACATTTACAAAACATTTATTTTTGTCAAAAGACCCGGGGGCAGTATACCTACACAGTGTTCGAAATTAACTGAAAATCATAAAAGGCCCGAAGGACCTATGTCAAATTGAAACTGTAGGTCCTTCTAGCTAACTGTAGGCCCTGATATTTAACAAAGACTAAACGGATAATACAAGCTTGCAATTGCAAAACCTTTATTTACTAATTAATCAGATATATTATCTGCAGCCTCAAAGAGGTCATCATCATTTCTTTCATCGTCACTATACTCATCAAAATCTTCAGAAAAAACACTATCATGATCACTGGCCGACTCTGAATCTGACATGCATTTTGCATCTTGTTCACAATCATTGGCGTCAGCCTCAGCTTCTACAAGGATCAATTCTGCTGCACGATCCTCGACAAGGCCGGCAATACATCACCTTGTTGTTGTTATCAAAAAGTAACCAGTCTTGAACTCCGCCTGCCAGCTAATTTGGAATGTGCGTGTTTA